AAAGGCTGGTTCGAACTAGAGACGTAGTTTCTCTCTAGTTGGCCAGATATTATTTATAGGTTTCTAATTAAAAGCACAAAGACAGTTATTCCCCTACTTAAGGGTCTGTTCGTTTGCTCTGAAGTCTGACATCTGAAAGTGTAATAATTACATTAAGAGGTATATTGGTATTGGTGAACTTTTCTTTCTTCTGAACTCCGAATGCAGAGAATGTTGTTCTGAATTCTGAAAACTATCAAATATCCATTTTGACCCCATATATGAGAGTTTTTGTTTTTCTTTTTGGGTGTATCATTGGAAAACAAAAAGTCGTATGACTGCACTTTAAGAGATAAGAGATAAGAGGAAACGAACAACCAATTTTCTCTTAAAGTTAAAAAGACTCCTTGTAAGAGATAAGAGTTAAGAGGAAACGAACAGGCCCTAACTATGGGACACAACACTTAAACCAGAATATAACAGATATTACAGAAACTCTTTACATAAAACAAAATGATCAAACTACCCCTTTACAGCCGACTCTAACAGAGCTTAATTTGACTAAGTTTTGTTTAGTTTCTTAAGAGATATTTTTTTTAAAGGTAATAAATGAGTATTTTATTAATGATCCAATGGGAACTATCAAAGGATACAGCATAAAATATCCACAAAGAGGCATGAGCTGCAGCCTCAAAAATAAATCAGGTTTATAATTGAGCCCAAAGTAATTGATCCCTATACACCCCTTGCTTAGCTAGAAGGTCTGCCAGCCCATTAGCCGATCTCCTCTCCCAATGAACTCTCACTGTTATATTGGAGGTTAGCCACTTGAACTTTCTCATCGACCCCCTCCAAAGGACCAAGCTATAGTTTCTGGTTCCTTCAGCCACCCAGTTACTAGTTTAGAATCACCTTCAATTAGCAAACTCCCATGGTTCAGCATTCTAGTAATCTGTGCTCCCTGTATAACTGCTTGTACCTCTGCATTAACCGCATTCTCCACTCCAATTGGACCAAAAAATAAGGCAACAATTTGACCCTCTGCATTTCTGAAAACTCCTCCAATACCAAATGCCCAGGACTAACGAGGCTGCTACCGTCAAAGTTTAGCTTGAGAAAGCCTTTTGCCAGGGGCTTCCAAGTTACTATAGGCTTGTCCTTAACTAAGGAAGATTTTGCAACCAATTCCTAGTTTCTTAAGGGATAATTTTGTTGTGCTAATTGATAAAAACTTCCATGCCCAAGGAAAAAAAACTTTCATGCTGTCCATTCTCAGGGAGAGTTATGGCATCATGCATACCCTATTACTGCACTCAGAACCAGACCTGAGATTTTACTTGAAAGACGATTATTACTGAATCATACTTCAGAATTGGGCTGGACACACCTTTTAACTACTGTCTGCAATGGACAAACAGCACATACACATCACCAATACTTCTTACGGACCAGTCTTCATGGGGGAGTCTGTTAAACCATACCCAAAGTAAGGCAGTCTTCCACACTGCCTTGTAGGAGTCAAAATGAGGTTGCATCACTGAAAAGCTAAGGGGGTGTTCTTTTTGTGGCTGTGTTCGTGTTCCATTTGGTTCACTAATACAATCGGTGTTTTGAAGGACATTTTCATTTTGTTGCAAGTTCCAGAACCAGCAAATCCCCATTTTTTGAACAATATGGAAGATAACTTTTTGAACAACCACATGGTTCAAAAAGAAGGCTGATGTGGCCAAGTGATATTTTTCTATCTTGGGCCATATTCCTATATTGTATAAAATGCAATATATATTTTATACATGTCAAAAAAATATAGTTATATATACTTTTTAACATATTATATATTATATTATCTTTTAACATATTATATATTATTGTTAACATATGATAAATCAATGGCCATGCAACCAAAGTTGAATGGTGATAGATGAATTGCTTCTATACATGCGAGCCACACAGAAAAAACTGACAATGTGTCGAGTCAAAAAAATGAACCATGAACATAACAGTTGTTGTGGTTCTGTGTAGTTCACAACACAACCACAACCATACATAGTGGCATGTCTGTGATGGTTCAAAACCAATATTTTCATTTTCAAAAAGAGGTGATATGGTTCTGCACCACAACCACTTTTTTTTTGAACCATGAACTCAACACCACCTAACTATTGTCCAATCTAACTACAAACTAAGGGCCTTGATTTAGACAATCTGGATAACCCCTAAGTGAAAACAAAATAAAAAACACCCATCTCCTATATTTTGGATAGAGACTGTGTTTTGTACACCCATTCATCCTTAGTCTTTTTGTGTTTTTGCTATCATCATTTTTTTTTATGGAGACTAGTTCACATAAAGCCCTACCTATGAGACATAATGACCATTCCGAGTGCTTTCTTCTAGGCTGTGTTTGGTTTGAGGGAAGATTTTGGTGGGATGGATGAGAAAGGGAAAATCGGTAGAAAATTTTCATGTTCCATTGTTTGGTTGCTAAATGGAAAATAGTGGGAAAATCGACCCTAATAACTATTATTAATTAATGAATTAGGTAACTAGTAATATTTTTATTATTTTATATTTTACTATTAATTACTAATATTTTATAATTAGTTATTTAATTAAGAATTTAATACTTATTAATTAGTAAATTAATGACAAATTAAATAAGAATTATTATTTTATTTTTTATTAGATTATTTTTATTATTAATGCATTTGAATTAATTAATACTTTCAATATTTTATTCTGAAATATTAATTAATTATTAAATTGTTTTTAATTGATTAACATTTTTTAATTATTTATAATTTTTTTTAATTAAATTATTTTATTAATATGTTATTAAATAATTAATAATTTATTAATGGGTCATGGGCATGGTTTAAAGTATCGATACGGTACACCTCGTATCGGGCGTGTCGTATCATATCTTTTGAAAAAGATACACTTCGAAACACTTGTTTACTGGTGTTTCAGAACCCCACCTTTTTTTATAAAAACTTATTTTTAGCTTCCCAAAAAACCAAAATTTGAAAAAAAAAACTAAAAAAAAGAAGAGTTTCGGGTGTTTCTAAGTATTGATACGATACTGCCGATACGCGTATTGTATCGATACTTTGAACCTTGGTCATGGGTCTAATATTAACTCTTAGAAATACTACAAGGGAGGTGTTTTTTTTTTTTTGTTAAATGAGTTTCCTTCTCCATTCCCACTTCCCACCAAAATGGTGGGATTCTACATCCCAAGAATTGGGATCTATAATCCCACCTTTTTTTCCCATCCCATCTCATAACAGCCCACAAACCAAACATGGAAAGGAAAGAATGTTCTAGAATATTCCATATTTCCCCTTCCCATCTCACAAGCCAAATGAAGCCCTAGTGTTTGTTGTTTAATCTCTTGAACATAATCTTGTTCTCATGGCTCTATGGAATATTGGAATCTATAACTGCTAGCTCTCTTTCAAGGGGACCACCTTAGTAGTTAGAATCTACCTCCTTGTCCTCATCTTCCTAATGTACCGTAGCTGACAATGACCCTTTTATTAATTTTTCTTTGTAGCTCATTTTAATCTCTTCAGAAAATCAAAAGAAAGCTATCAATACCTGGCCGCCCAAGATCAGATCAAAAACAAAGAGTCCAACTTTTCTGGGACTCTTCCCTATACTCCAGTTCTTCCTGATTTTGATGCCGAACAGTAGATCACCTTCCTGATGACTAGATCCCACCAAAAAATCCAAGAACTGGGCAATCTACAGCAGATCGATCAGCCCTTTATTACTTCATGCAGTCGGCTGATCTAGGGCTGCATGAGAATGCTTCTAGAAACCCTGGCCGCCACTCTGATACCAAATAGAAAGCTTGCTGAATTAAAAAATATGAAATAAAAGGAGTTTCTTGAAGAAAGAAGGAAGAGAGAAGGAGAAGAAGAGAAGTTGAAAAGAAAGGAGAGCAATAATCTGGCCGCCCCCTTCACTTATTATTTATACTAAAAATAATAGAGCAGTACAAAGACAACTATGCCCTTATAGGGCGGCAAGCCATAAAACAGCATATATAAGACACAAAAACATAATAAAATTTGGACTCACATAACTACTGTGGTCTCCACCTCCTATCTAACAACTAACATAAAACATTTACTCATAAAAAACATCATGAAACTGATTAATCTTCAACAAAAAGGATATTGTTTGATGCTGAAGATAAGGGTTTGTCCCTGTCTTTAACCAAAACGAAAAAAAAAAAGAGATTCACCAAGGATTCACTCCAGCCTCTATAAAGGAATTTTATGTTGTGAATCCAGCTGGTAGATGTGCTTTTAGTGGAAGAGACAGGCAGTAATCATTATAAGACATGTAGTAATGTTCTTGTCTCTTCAGATCTCTCATTTGTGATCTTTGAAGTTGCATGCAGTAAATACTTAGAGTAATCATGGTTCTAGTCTAATTTTCATATTGCTCTTTGCTTTGGTTATCTTCCAAATCCTTCATGATCTGGACTTCATCATGAGGTTTTGTTTTATCTTCTAATTCCACCGCAGTTAATGCCATTGTTGTGAGTGCTACCTCATTTGAAAACTTCTGTTTAACCATGTAGTTACTTTGGAATGTTGCATAAAAATGAACTATAGAAATTGTTGAGTACAGTATCAATTGGAGGCTGACTGATTGATGTAATGAAAACAGATGTCTTGAAGAAAGAAACAAACAATGCTTTACAATATATTTAAGCTGAGTTCCAGAAAGAGAAAGCTATGCTTCATCTGGAAGAATATCAATAACTTATATATGATTCACACACATTAAGTTACTTCGGTCCAAATGAACATTATGAAAATCCCTTGCACAAGAGGCCTATTGAAATGAGAAGAAATCATGTCTATCTACTTATAAATATAGACAACTTGAGAATAAGATGAGCATATAATTTCAGGGGACATTCTATTAGTTCATTCTGTACTGGAACTCAAGCATGTTGTAAGTATGTTCTTACTTGGGCTTGACATTTAATTACCATCTTGCAGAGTGCTTCAAGTTGACTTCTTGTGAAGCAAAAACTGCAAACCAAAACATCCATGCCTATGGTGTCATGCTTGTTGTAAGTATTTTTTGTCTTTCTTTCTACTGACACTGTATGCTTTACCTCTTAAATCAGAAAAGAGATCACTTATATTAGGTTGCATTTATGGTTAATTATCTTTGAGACAAAATGTGACTTGTCTTTTACAGCAGCAGAAAATAGGTAGAAACAGAAAGGAAGGATTGACACATCTGACCTTAGATGACTCAGAGAAAAAAACTCAACCAAACTGCGACAAAAAAACTTCCATCTCTGCATGCATAACAACTTTCCACTCAGGTTGCTCTATTGCTTCAGCCACATTCCTTGGAATAGATACAGATGCAACAAATTCAAGAAAAGACTTATAGGTACTAGATAGGTGGTCATAGGAAATATGTTTGGTAATGCTATAAGCAGTGGTGCAACTTCACTTACCCTTATGTAAGGCAATGGGAATATCAAGGTCAGAAGGTGGGACAATATCAACATCAAAATATTTGGCAAGGGGTTGCTAATGTCCTAAGAGTGCCTGTAATGTTTAGGGTTTGTCAAAGGAACTGAACCACCAAGGTAAGGGGGACATGCCTCATCAGAAGAGATCTGAAGTGGTCATTCTGCATAAGGTACCTTCCTCTTTCACTGGAAAGTCAGGAAATCATTAATAGGTGACATAATGAAATGTTCAAGAGACAAGAACACATGAAAGAGGAACATGGAGTGAAGAAGGTAGAGGAGGAGGAGGAACAGGTGGGTCAAAGAGTGAAAAAAGGGGCAATCTCCCACCATGGAAGAACATTAGGAAAAGGAGTGGATTCAAAGAAAGAAACATTTATTGATACAAATTTCTTTCTAGAAATAGGATCAAAGCAGTAATGTCCCTTTTGATTGGGTACATAACCCAAGAACACACATTTGATAGATTTAGGATCAAACTTGGAATGATGAGGACCAAGAACATGACCAAAGCATGTACAACCAAACACACACAGAGGGATAGGGAATACATCATCCCTTGAAAAGAGAGTACTAAAAGGTGTTTTAAATCCAAGAACATGAGAAGAGACTCTGTTAATGTGGAAGACAGTAGTACACACATCGCCCCAAAACCAAATAGGAACATGAGTGCTATACATGATTCCCCTAGAGATCTCATGGATGTGTTTGTTCTTGCACTCAAAAACCCCATTTTTCTATTGAGTATTGACACAAGAACTCTGATGGATGACACCATAAGAACTCATGATGAGAGATTTTTCTCACAGTACTCCTTGGCATTGTCAATGAAAAAACCCTTCAACCTTGACACCAAATTGAGTTAAAACCATCTAATGAAATCGTTGAACCAACTGGGGTACTTCATCCCTATAACACATCATGTAAAGCCAAGAGAAGTGAGAAAAATCGTCCACAAAATGTAAGAAATGTTGGTATCCACCCATACATTTAACATGGTAAGGTCCTCACACATCAATATGAATAATAGTAAAAGGAGGATCACTTCTTTTATTACTTGAAAAATGATTGTTTCTACAATGCTTTGATAATTGACAAAATTCACACTTAAGACTTGACATATTAATTGACTGAAACAAAGAAGGAAATAATGACTTCAAAGAATTAAAAGATAGATGATTAAGTCAGCTATACCACAACATTATCCGATCAATAGACCTTGAAGAAACACTGATGCAGGAGCTGAAGAGTCAAAATTGGAATTTTATGAAATTTTATGTATTTTTGGACAGTAGGGGTATTTTTGTCATTTTGCAATTTTCTGTGGGGTCCATTGATAGGGTTTAACTTGTCTAGTTATAATTTATTTATGTTTAAAAATTCAGAGTCATTGCATAAGTAGGATTAGAGTTATTAAGTCTTCTTTGAATTGAAATAGTATATGGCAACTTAGTTTAAGTTCTACTAGGATTATTAAGTCTAACATTTTGACTCCTAGGACCATTATGAGTTTAACAGTTTGACTTCTAGGATTATTATTAGAGTCTATAAATATGTATGGCATTTTACACAAAGAGCAATGGAGTTTATTGAGTTTTCTTCAGCTTATGATAACTATGGTGAGTGATTCCCATGCCCTAGAGTGATTCTAGGCACCCTGTGAGTGATACCAGGTATTTTCTCTGTTATTCCTTTAAGAAGCCATTACAACCATAAATCATAAAATTCTGATCAAAGAAGACCACTCAACATTCTCTAAGGACTAGAACTGAGCTGGTCCTACATCACACTATGACCACAATGACCAAAATGACTTGGGCTAAGAGATAAAGAAGGTTTGTCATCTAGAGGATAAACACCATCCACCTCATGATCAGGGTAAAACATTGTAGAGCTTTGGTGATATTACTAATTGATAATATTTTTTTATCAATAACAGAAAAAATTCATTAATATTCAATAAAATAAGTACAATCAAGAGAAAGGGAGAGATAAACTCACTTAACTCTCCATAAAAAGGAAACAATATTACAACCATGCCCAAAACAGTCAATTCCTTTCCGTCCCTTATTTAGCCAAAGAGTTAGCATCTCTTTTAGCCCATTTTAGAGTAACATTCACGTCTTTCATCAGCCACTTGATTCTTCTCTTCTCATGAATGAATCCCTACAAAACGGCTAGTATTTCAGCCCTCAAAGCATCACCCACCCCAATAGGGCTGGAGTAAAGGGCAATAACTTTCCCTTCCTTGTTCCTGAACACTCCTCCAATACCTGAAGGACCTAGATTTCCTTCACTGCTACCATTGAAGTTCAGCTTGATGAAACCCCTTGAAGGCGGGGACCAAACAAGCCTAATAATCTCCTTGGGAGGAGTGAAACCTGCAATTTCCTTCCACTTTCTCATCAATTCACCAGCTGGAATATTTTTCAAACAACTTCAATATCTTCACTCAATGAACCACTCTGATAGTTATTGCTTCAATTAATGCCTCCCTATTCCTTTCCTTTTCTAAGAAAGTTCTTTGATTTCTTTCTTCCCATAGAGTCCACCATACTGCTGTCCTTGTGCACCTCCAAAGAGTTCTTCCCCTCTTCTTTTTCCCTCCAACAAAAGTAGAGGACAACAAGCTTTGAACAGAAGATGGGAGGTTCCACCTACACCTAAACAAAGAGACAAACTATTCCCAAATTGTAGAAGCAAAGGGACAGGAGATTAATAAGTGGTAGCAAGACTCACTGATGGCTACAAATTGATAATAAATTCATACTAAGCTTAAGGACATGCAAGATAGATAAGCTTAAAGAACTAGTAACGCTAATATCACCCTTTCCAGAGATAGGACTAAGGGATCCATCAGCAGTAGAAACTTTATCTCCTCCTGAAGATAAAGAATATTATGAAACAAGGAGAAATTCTAGTCATGTGATCTTTTTTTTTTATAAGTAAAAAAGATGATTTTATTAAAAGGAAGAAAAAAATTACAATCTGGATAGGTGATAAGGTAGCACCTAAACCACTGAGACTACAACAGAATTGGAGCAACAAAATTTCCAGATTACAAATTGAAATACACCACTTCCCAAGGACAAATACTAACAACTTCTCTCAGCACTGAGAGCATTGGTAGAAAAAAACCAACAACAATGAAATTGCCCACAACCACCCCCAACTTCTACCAACTCCAAGGACCTTCACAGTTCACACCCAAGATAGCCACTCCGATCCTTCCTCCCCCTTCCCTAAACTACTTAAACTTCTAAAACCCTTCACTCTTCTTCAACCCAACCATCTTCTTTTCCCTCCCCTTTGTCCCAAATCTCACCTCCATCCCCCACTATTTTCTTTCTAAATTCCTCTTTTCTTCATTTTTTTTTTTTTTTTTTTTTTGAAATTGTTGTATTGCTCTTCTGACCACACTCCCCTCCCCCCCCCGAAAAAAAAAAAAAAACAAACCAAGAGATTTGCCTACTTCCACCTATCTCTCCACTAACTTCTTGATTTCCACCCTCCTCTCCCCTGTTTTTCCTTATTCTTGAGTGTTCCCTCCTTCCAGACCCGCAAGTTCTTCATCCAGTGCATACGAGCATCAACTTTTTTAAACGACCCGCAGGTGTTATCCACCGCATGGAATGTTTGTGGGTTCCAAGCGTGGAGAGGGATCCCGTAAACATTGACCCATACAAGGCTCTTCACATCACCGTCACTAATAGCCCCTACTAATGGATTCCACTTGCCCAGTCTGAGGTCCACCCACCTGACTTTAGCAGACTCACAATCGAGAATATCCTCTGCCTCCTTGCTGCTTAACATCTGATCCACCTGAATCTATGATCCAAGGAATGGATGTACCAATAGTGGCAACATAAGCAGAAGTCTGAGTACCTGGGGCAGTGGAAGATGTGGTTTTATCTGTGAATGCATATGAAGGACTAGAATTTGCTCCAACATTCTCAATTTAAGATATGTATCTGCTATACTTCTTAATCTCAGCCTTGACAGCGGCAAAAGATTCCATTGTTGGATAAGAAACATAGTGGGTGGGGGGGGGGCTGGGGGCTAGTGGCAATTAATCCTATAGTAGTAGAGACTTTATTTGCACTTCCCTTCTTCTCATCTGCCTTCTTGAATGTTGCCAACATCAACCGAGGGTGCAACTTCCAACAGTTATCTCATGTATGTTTAGGCTTCTTACAATAATCACATACGCTCTCCTCAGTGTCAAAATTATTGCCCTTACTCTAAGGTGCCTTAGTTTTAGATGTGGCTAAGATAGGATGATTTGCAATGGGCATCTGCATCATAACTTTTCTCCTACTCTGTTCATTGTGAACAAGATAATAAGCTTAAGAGAGGTAGATGTCCTTCTTAGTGAAATTGTGTTGGTGAGTGATATCATACTTAGAGTTAAGACCAGCCAAAAACTCAAAGATTCTATTTCTTTCAACAAATTTCTTATGTATCTCAACATCCTCCTTACACTTCAACTGAACACTCTCCAAATGACCAAGTCTCCTACTGGAGAGACTTTAGGGTAGAAAAATATAGGGAATTAGGGGTAATGGCAAATCTTCCTGGTTCAGGTTGTTAATCTGCATCTTCAACTCATAAACTTTAGCAATATCAAGGGGGTGAGAGTATATTTCTGCTAATATTACCCCAGATTTCCTTACCAATTTTTCCCTACATGTGGTTTCTCCTAATATATGGTTGCATAGTATTGATTAACCAGGACATCACCAAATAATTCTCTTGCTTCCACTTAGAGTGGGTGTGATCTTTATGTTAGAATGTTAGAATGAAGTCTCTTTGTATGAGTGTTCGGCTGATAAGAGTTCTTATTAGCCCATACTTAAGTTTAAGTTATCCTGTAACTGGGCCWRWGTTAATGGGCCTAAGCCTGTTTAATGTTTTAAGTTAACTGGGTGTCCCATCACTAATCAGGGGCATTCCAGTAATTACTTGTATCATTGTACTACATTCAAATATAAACAATAGCATGGTTGACTGGGCAGTTCAGTTCGACATTCACAGCATACCAGTGGTGTTCTTCTCCTCTCCTCTACTTCGAGTACAGCTCTCAAGCTCACACTTTAGAATCAGGTTCAATTGTATCACCAGTGAAATAGCCGAGCTTTCCATGCCCCCAATGGCAATGATCATAGTTTGATCCCACTATAGATAGTGCCATCTAACTTGACAGAGATGATGATCCTAGAGTTCCTTTGTACCCTGGGAACCAGAAAGCTCTTCTGATCACTCCCACTAGGGTCCATCTTCTTTCAAAGGTTTTCAAACACCAACAAAAACAATTCTGAGTTTGCAGTACCTCAAACAAAGCAACTGCAATCCTCCCACTAGGGGCCCAACAACCTCGGAAAGAGGGAGCGAGAAAAAACAATAATGTGAAGTTCCAAAACTGATCCAGAGAGTCTTAGAACCAAATCAATCTCAAAGAGAGCTTGAGATTGGTCCAATGAAGAACTCTTATCCCGGGAGAAAGTAGATAAAGAAAATCAGGATCAATCTCTTCCAGCTGATATGAAACCCAAATTGATCTCTTATAGGGATCAAAAGATGTCAAACGAAAAAAAAATGGTTGCAACATTCACCAGTTGTGTAATCCAATAATCCTACCTCAATCCAATCTCTGGTTCCTACCAAGCTCCAAAAAGAGATCAACCAGCCCCTTTCAGTTCATTATGCAGTTGGCTGGTCCAAGGACTGCATAAGAAACCAACTACAAGAGCCTTAGAGTTATACCTTTGATACCAAGTTGTCTTTTACAGCAGCAGAAAATAGGTAGAAACAGAAAGGAAGAGGAGAGAATTTAGGAAGAGTGGAAGAAGAGAAAGAAAGAAAAAGAAAACTGGAAGAAGAGAGATTTGGAGAAGAAATAATTGTGGGGCTCTCTTGGTTCCCACTGCTATTTATAATAAGAAGTATTAATGACCAAAAATTACATCCTAGCCCCTCGTAGGGTGGCTACAACTAAAACTTAAAGTGGTCATGTGATGAGGATGTGACACAACTTAAAAATTAAATAAAACAGGCCCAAAATAAACTAAAACATGAATAGAAAATAAGCTAGCAGACCACTTAACAACTCAACAATATGTTAATAATGTAGTCTCATTTTATTTTGTATTTCTCTTGCTAATACTTGCAAATACATTTCTTTATATTTCTATTACTAGGGCTGCATTTGGTATTCCTTATTTTAAGGATTTTTCTCCTTTTTGGGGTCAAAATTCCCCATGAACACTGAGTTTTTAACCCCAAAAAGGAGATAAATCCTTCAAATAAGGAATGCCAAATGCAGCTTAATTATCTATCTTATCTATGTATCTATCTATTGACAGACTTTACTTGGCAAATGTAGGCTGTATTGAGTGCTTTGCTACTCGTTATCTATAGCTGTTCTGATCAAGTTATCACTACTCGGGAAAAAAGACATGCCAGATCTCGTGAAGCTGCAGCAAGGAGTGCAAGAGAAACTGCACAAGCTCGTGAAAGGTGGAAGTCTGCAAAAGATGTTGCTAAGAAGCATGCAGTAGGATTGCAAACACAGTTATCACGTACGTTTTCTCGTAAAAAGTCTGTAAGGCAACCTGAGCAGCTGAAGGTCCCGGGTCAAGCTAAACCTGGAACAGATGAGGCACTGTCATCGTCAGGCCCAAGTACTTCAAGTACATCTCAGCAATCAACCATGGCACCAAAAGGCAAGAAAAAGGAGCCAAGTAACCTGACAAAGATGATACGTGAGCTTGAGGAGAACCCTGACAGCCAGGAAGGTTTCAATTTGGAAATTGGAGACAAAAATATTAAAAAGCATATGCCAAAGGGCAAACAAATGCATACACATAGCCAAATTTTCAAGTATGCATATGGTCAGCTTGAGAAAGAGAAAGCTATGCAGCAGGAGAACAAGAATTTGACCTTTTCAGGAGTAATTTCAATGGCCACTGATACTGGGATTAGAACCAGGCCTGTTATTGAGGTTGCTTTCAAAGATTTGACCCTCACTTTAAAAGGCAAAAACAGACATCTCATGAGGTGTGTTACAGGGAAACTTATGCCTGGTCGTGTCTCTGCTGTCATGGGTCCGTCAGGGGCTGGAAAAACCACATTTCTTTCTGCTTTGGCTGGAAAAACAACTGGATGCACAATGACGGGTTTGATTCTTATAAATGGAAAAGTTGAATCCATGCATTCATATAAGAAAATCATTGGCTTTGTGCCACAAGATGACATTGTGCATGGAAATTTGACAGTGGAGGAGAACCTTTGGTTCAGTGCAAGTTGCAGGTATGCTGCATTTTTTTTGGCAGGCCAAATGCAACTCATCTGTGGTATTGGGGAGTTACTAATAGTACTAGGGATTCTTGATCCCTAGAAGTGTAAAGCTAAAACATCTTGGTAAAGATAGTTGAACCTATCTGGGGACTTTTAGGGTGCTTGGCACCTCTTCTATTTTTCTTTTTTTAATTCTATTTCATTGGGGTAAGATTTATTAAAGTGATAAATTAGGAGGTACCTTTTGTAGTAAGACATCTACATATTATGAGGAAAGGGACTCTTTATTCCTAAAATAACCATTTTTTTGTGATAAATAAAAATAAAAATAAAAATATTGTTCCTCTCCTATGATTGTTAGAATTGTTATTTTTTAGCATGGTGATTAGGGGATGGGATCCCTGTTTTACGTTCTCAACCATGCCTATATTTACTGAAAATTCCTTATGTTCTTTTAGTTCACATAATTTTATCCATCTTCATATGGTGGCTTGAATCTTACTTTACAAGGTCAAAGCATTGCTTATGCAATAGTTGATACTTTACAAGGACAAAATATTAATAATATTAGTCATGATTATTATTTCCTAATTTTGATCTACTCTTTCAAGCCTGTTCTTTAGGAGTGCAAGTTGGGCGGGTTGGGCCGGGTTTATGGTCAACCTAGGCCCGACCCTAAAATTTGGGCTTAAGGCCCTATCCCAGCCCGAGCCCGAGGTCAAGCCCGATTTTCCTAACCCGAGCCCAGCCTGCCTTGTAATTTGATGCACTCAGGTTGGGCTCAAGCCCGGGCCAGGCTCAGGTTGGTCAGTGAACCCACTCTAAAATTATACATATATAAATGTATTTATGCAAATACATATACATATATTTATGTATGTATGTAAATATATGTATGCAAAATATATATACAAATGTTATATATACAGATAGTCAGATATGTATGTATATATATATGTAAATACATATGCAACATTTACATATATACACATATATGTATAAATGTATATAATTGAGCTGGGCTTGGGCCGGGTTTGGACTACCTAAGGGCTAGGCCCGAGCCCGGCCCGAAAAATAAAAAAACCCAACTTCTTGGGCCCGAGCCCAGCCCATGTAAAATTCCGGGTTGGGCCGGTTTGGGCTCAGGCTGGGCCCGCCCAAGTTGCACCCCTACCGTTCTTTGATGATCTGCTTTCTATTTCAAAATCATGTTGTAAATGGTGAGGTTAGGAGTTGTTATTTTTATTCCTTTTGTACTGACATGAATTTCTTTTTTGTCATTTTTCTTATTGGGAGGTTACCTGCTGACTTGTCAAAACCGGATAAAGTTCTTGTTGTTGAAAGAGTGATTGAGGCATTGGGGCTACAGGCTGTAAGGGATTCGCTTGTGGGAACAGTAGAGAAGAGAGGAATTTCTGGAGGTCAAAGAAAACGAGTTAATGTTGGGCTGGAAATGGTCATGGAACCTTCACTCTTAATCTTAGATGAACCTACATCTGGTTTGGACAGTTCATCATCTCTATTGCTTCTTAGAGCACTTAGGCGTGAGGCTCTTGAAGGGGTAAACATCTCTATGGTAGTTCACCAACCAAGGTTAGTTTAAACAATCACTAAATACACAGTTCATTAAACAATGTGTGATCTTTCTGTTTGTTCATTTTTGTTTTGTCCCATTTGCATCTTATACGCCCATTGAACAATAAAGATTACCAGGGAAACAGGTGAGGAAGCATTTCCATTTCTTTTTTTTTTGTTTAAAATAATTTGAAGCTGTTGTAAATGGTGAAGTTAAGAGTTTAATTTTTCCTTTTCTGTACTGAATCTGGTTATAGGGGTATTTGATCATTTTATCAAGTTGTAAATGGGCCTGGCCTAGTGGTTTGTTTTGTCTAGCTGTAACCTTCTTATGTAAAATTTCATTGGCATGATATCAGTAGTTAGCAGCAGTTTACATGGTTGTAGTATGATAGTGGCATTATTGTCTGTCTTATTTTTTGTAGTTATGGCCAACTCTTAGAATCTTTATGTGTGCGTGTGTGTGTGTGTGTTTGAATAAAAAAACATGTCTATATTGTTGTTATGGTGAGTGATCCCATAAACCCTGGAGTGATTCTTGGTGTCTGTCAAAGTTTATACTGCAGGGGTAATGTCATCTCTTTGTCCTTTGTTTCCTAGTCTTATGTTATATGCAACCCTTGGAGAGTATTTTTGTAATTTTTTTTTTATTAGAAGTCCAATAAAACAGAAGTCAATAGGAGGGAGAGAGGCAAGTTTGAATCTCTTTCCTGGACCTCGGTCCTTCTTACTTCTTGTTTTCTTCTCTCTTTTTTGGACCTTGGCTCGACTGAATCTCTTCCTCATCCCTTTTCTTCTTTGTTTCAACCTTTCTTCACCTTTTTCTTTTGGCTTTTATTACATGGTATTAGAGCATTAGGGCTCGGCTTTCATTGTTCATGTCACTTTTTGCACCCTAGGAATAGAGAACTCACTCTATTCGCAACAAGGAAAAGGACCTAAAAGGAGTGGTTGCCCATTAGAAAAAGGAGGCTTTAAAGCCTCCAGTTGTGTCTGTTGTGGTGTTCTGGGTATTCTTCTAAAGTTCCCTCATGCTGCAGCCCAAAAGAGGGGTGGTTATGATGTGTGGCTAGCGCAGCAGGTTAGTGACAGTGTGTGGAGTTCAAACAATGTGTTGTGGTGTGGTGATAACCCTAGTGTAAGTGTGTGAAGTGGTTGGTCTCCTAAGTGAGAGTTGTGTGGTTTCCAATTGTGGTATTTGGTCTCCTAAGTATGTCCTTGATCTACTTGTAGAAATTAGCAAACTTGGTACTAAACCAGCTTCCACTGACTTAAAAATAACAAGCTCTTAATTACTGATGGTGAACTGTTGTTGGTTGATAGGGGAATGTTCCAAAGATTGCTTGAGAAGTTGTTATATCTTTGCATGACTCGACTAGATATTTCCTATGCAGCAAGTGTCATTAGTCGAAGAAGGCTGATGTTGATCACCTTAGGCCTGTACTCAGGTTCAGATTTCTGCAAGAAAACACAGAAAGAAAGATAAAGCGGAAGAGAGAAGAAGAGAAGAGAAGAAGAATGAAAAGAAGGGAGCAGTTCTCTTTATTCTGTCGTCCAGATTTTGTATTTATAGGTTTCTATCATAAAGTAACTTACAAAGACAACTATACCCCTACTGACTAAGACACTACTTAACAGAATATAACAATAACTAATGTAAGCCCAACTAACAAGCCCATGACAAGACCCAAACTGATAAAATAAAGAAATAACTAATATACTATTTCTCTACACTCCCCCCTCAAGTTGGGAATAGATATTGGTCATTCCCAACTTGCATAAATCTGTCTCTAACTTGACCCTTGTAACTGCTTTGGTGAAGACATCAACAAGTTGCATATCAGAGGCAACACACGGAAGGCAAACTTCCTAGGAGGCAACTCTTTCTCTAATAAAATGTCGATCCACCTCAATATGTTTGGTTCTATCATGCTGTATGGGTTATGAGCAATATTAATAGTGGCTTTGTTATCACAATACAGCATTAGTGGATCTTTCATATTCAACCCCCAACTCCTCAAGTAGTGATCTCAACCATAACACTTCAGCCACCCCATTAGCCATAGATCTGTACTTTGCTTCAGCACTAGAGCGGGCAACAGCATTTTGTTTTTACTTTTCCAAGAAACTAGATTGCCTCCAACAAGAGCACAAAACCCTGAGGTAGATCTCCTACCATCCACATAACCAGCCCAATCTGCATTAGTGTACACTTCTATCTTCATGTGACCATTATTCTTGAAGAATATAACTCTGTCTAGACACCTCTTCAAGTAGGCAAGTATCCTTTCAACTGCAAGAAGATGGGATGTTCTAGGAGACTGCATATACTGACTGGCTACACTGACAGCATAATAAATATCTGGCCATGTTAGGCAAAGGTAAAGAAGCTTTCCAACCAGCCTTTGATACATGGTGTAGAGAGAATGGGCCGAATGGTCCATAGGCTGCTCTTATTTCTTTATGTTTCTATTCCTTTTTGTTAATGGGCCTTTATGCTTCTTTATGCTTTTTGTTTAATTAAGTTAATCGCCCAATTAAGGGTCTCCTTGTAAATATAGAAAATTTGTAAATTATTTTTAATGAAAAGATTAGGGAAGGGAGAGAGGTTCGAACAACTCATCTCCCAAAACCCTATTACAGCCGACTTCTTCTTCTTCTTCTCTCTTTGCTGCTGATATCTACCCTTTTTCATACTTTTTAAATCAGTCCTCTCATTCTTTTGGACTATTTTTTCTTCTCATGGCTTTATCTTCAGCTGGCTCACCTCCTTTTGCATTTATCTTGTGATTCGGCTCAATTGGTGTGTCTGCTAGTTTAACTCCCAATTTTCCAGTCTCTTCTAGGAGATCAAGGGCATATTTCCTCTAAGAAATGAAGATGCCATTGTTCACTTCCCAGGAAATATCACAAATCACCCAGATCTTTCACTTCAAATTACTGTCACTTCCCAGGGAATCAATCTCATTACTGTCACTGCTTGTTACCACAATATCATCAACATATACAGCTAGGAGAGTTAGGGCTGAACCTGTTTTCTTAAAAAATAGGGTATGATTTGATTGAGCCTATACATAGCCAATTTTTTTCAAGGCACATCTAAACCTGTCAAACCATGCCCTTGGGGGCTGTCTAAACCCATACAAAGCCTTCTTAAGTCGGCAAACTTTCTTTCCGTTATCTTCATCATAGAAACAAGGGGGCAACTGCATATATACTTCTTCCTGGAGATCACCATTCAAAAGAGCATTCTTAACATCCATCTGGAACAATGGCCATGAAAAGTTTGCAGCAAGTGGCAATAACACTCTGATTGTGTTCATTTTGGCAATTGGTGCAAAGGTTTCTACATAATAAGTCTATGTGTATCCCTTAGCAACCAGTCGTGCTTTGTATCTTTCAATTGAGCCATCTGCATTGTACTTCGTAATTAATATCCATATGCACCCAGTCGGTTTCTTCCATCTTGGTTGATCTACTAGCTCCCAAGTATCACTTTTGATAAGTGCATCCATCTCTACCTTCATTGCTTCTTTCAACTCAGGTGCTACCAGGGCTTCATGCACTATTCTGGGAATGGTCATAAGAAAGAAACTGAGAGATGCAATGGGTAGTTGATGAGGTGTGATAAAGTTCAGACCTGCACTAGAATTCTGTTAAAATTAGAGGAGATAGAGAAGAGAAGAAAACTGGTTCAAATAAGAGAGAATCACACTCTCTAGTTGGCTAGGTTATATTTATATGTTTCTGTTAGAATAAAACAAAAAGACTATTATGTCCCTACTTAAGTATGGGACACATCACTTAACATAAACATTACACATCAACTTAAATATAAATAGAAGGACTGAACTACCCCTATATAGGCGACACTAACACTCCCCCTCAAGCTGGTGAGTATATATCATATAGTCCCAGCTTGTTACGTATGTAGTCCATTCTTCCCCGACTTAACCCTTTGGTGAATAAGTCTACCCATTGGCTTCTTGTGTTAACATATGCAGTGTCTATCACTCCACTAAGCATCTTCTCTCCCACAAAGTGATAGTCAACTTCTATATGCTTTGTTCTCTCATGAAACACTGGATTAGAAGAGATGTGGACTACAACTTGGTTGTCACAATAAAGTTTCATTGGAGTGTCAATGGAATATCCCATCTCCTGTAGAAGATTATTCTTCAACCATAGTAGTTCACAAGTGGTATGTGCCACAACTCTGTATTTAGCTTTTGCACTGCTTTTAGCCACAACTGTCTGTTTCTTACTTTTCCATGTCACAAAAAATTACCCTCAATGAAGGTACAATAACCTGTAGTGGACCTTTTGTCAGATATAAAACCAGCCCAATCAGCATCGGTGTATCCCTTTATTTCAAGATTTCCTCCACTCTTATATATTAAGCCATGACCAGGAGCTCCCTTCAAATACCTTACAATCCTTAGAACTGCATCCTAATGTGGAACCCAAGGTTTCTGCATAAACTAACTCACCACACTTACTGCAAATGAAATATCTGGTCAAGCAATTTAGCTTACCCACCAACCGCCTGTACCTTCCAGGATCTTCAAACTCCTCACCCATATCACTGCTCAACTTGGTATTTGGTTCCATAGGTGTTTCAGCCGGTTTGGATCCTAACAACCCTGTCTCCTCTAACAAATAAAGAACATACTCCCTCTGACACAAGTTAATACCATTTAGACCTTGCTACTTCTATCCCCAAGAAGTATTTTAATTTACCAAGGTCTTTTGTTTGAAAGTGCTCTTGTAGAAAGGTCTTTAGCCTATCAATCCCCAATCTATCACTGCCGGTAATGAAAATATCTACATATACCACTAGTAAGATCTTCCCGGCATGTGAATCATGGATGAATACTGAGTGATCAGCCTGACACTATTTCATACCAAACTTCTTTATCACTTCACTGAATGTACCAAACCATGCACGGGGGGACTGTTTAAGTCCATAAATGACTTTCTTTAGTTTGCATACCTTACCATGCTCCCCCTGAGCAACA